CCTGCCCCGGGCTTCCTGGAATCAGCCGCTGATCAGTTTCAGCAGCAGCTGACTTGGGGATGCCTGGGGTTCTTAAGTTGAATCTGTATGTAAGTCAGAACTGGCGTCCAGATTCAGCCGCTGTTGAAACTGATCAGTTCCGACTTACATACAGATTCAACTTAAGAACAAACCTACAGTCCCTATCTTGTACGTAACCTGGGGACTGCCTGTACTGGCTCTTTGTTGACCACTTGTTTTGAATTTTGATGTAGTTTGGCTCTTTGGTTTGAAAAGGTCGCCTAGAAGCTAAATCCAAATCTTTGAAAAACTACTAGGACACTAGTCATAGAAATGAATTTTTAAATACACTTTCATTCAAAGTCTACATGTCTTAAGGCTAGACAGCAAGGGTTAAATAGTTATCTAGAGCAGTGGTTCCCAACCTTTTTGAACATACGGGCCCCTCTTCAATCTATTAAAATTGTATGGCCCATCCTTCCTGGGAGGGGAAAAAAAAGAAAAGGAAAAGAAAAGTAAGTATCAGGCTCATGGTAATGGGCCTGATCCTAATTTTTACACTTCCCATGGAACCTCTGCAGTACCATCACGGACCACCAGGAATCTGCGGACCACAAGTTGGGAACCACTGCTCTAGAGTCATAGTAAATTTGATATATGTAACAGTTTTTAAAAGGATTTTGTAACTTCTTATGAGTTTTCAATAATAAAACAAAACTATCTCCATCAAGGAGACTCTGGAGCATCACAAGGAGCAGATGAATATGATGGAATCACAAATCAGGGAGACAGCAGTAAAGGAGTTCAGGTTTCAGTTAGAGCAGTGTGAAGCAGAAAGAAGAGAGTTCCAGTTTATGTTACAGGTATTTTAATTAGAGTACAACACTACTTAAAAATTGCCTATTATGCCTTTAGAATAAGCCATGCATAATATCACCACTTAATTTATTCTGTTAATAAGGAGGTCATTTTATAGCTTTAAAGGCGTTTTTAATTTTAAAAAATTGTCTTCTTGAAACATGTTATCCTATTTGATCCCTGAAGATTGCAGTCCACTATTTATCCACAGAACAAGTAACGAGTAGGCAGCAGTAGCTTTTTTTTTTTTTTTTTTTTTTTTAAAGTACCTTTCTTCTGTGGAGGGGAAAATCCACAAGTTCATTACAGTCAATTTTTCCCTTTTAGAGAGAAGGTAATTTGTTTTTCATGTCCCATTTAAACCCAGGCCAGTCTTTTTGGACTGGAAATAAGCATGCCAGTCGTGTGACTGCCCTTGAAGTAGACATTGTCTCTGACACTACAGTTATGTTGCATAGGTCACTGACGTGTTGTCAGATAAGTCTTGATCACTAGTTAAAAAAGTGAGCTGAATAAAAATCAGTTAAGTTAGTAGTGAAAAGTTAGTCATGTCATGTTAATCTCTGATCCTCTGAACATTCAGACCCATATTTTTGGGGCTTTAGTTGTGATTAGGACTCTCAATTGACCTCGGTTAATGCCTACGATTAATGCAGGGCAGGATTAAGGCATTAATCCTTTAACATGTTAATTGCAGGTGTTAATGCTGCACTGCCCCTTTGAAGTGCCCCTCTGCGCAAGAGGACCCGGGAATCAGCTGGAGCCCCCATCTGATCCCCGGTTCTGAGTTGCAAACCCCTTTGAAGCACTGGAGTGGCACTTCAAAGGGGCTTTGCAACATGGAGCCGTGAATCATCTGGAGTCCCCAGCTGATACCAGGCTCCTAATGCGCTGCCCCTTTGAAGCGCTGCTGCAGCACTTCAAAGGGCCAGTGCTGCATGGAGCCCGGGGTCAGGTAGGGACTCCAGGTGATCCCAGGCTTGTATAGCGCTGCCCCTTTGAAACACTGCGGCGGTGTTTTAAAGGGGCAGCACACACAATTAATCTCGATTAATTTTTTTAATCCCATGACAGCTCTAGTTATCATAAGTGATATTTAGTTGCACATTATATTACATATTTGTATCAGATGATAAATAGAACTGTTGTCGTTCAACAAGTTCTGTTAGACAATGCTGGATGACGTGAAACTTTAGTTACTCTACCTCTGTAACTTTATTAAAAATTTAGAATCTTCTTCTGTGTAACATGGCTATTGAACCACCCTTTGTATCTAAGTCCTCAAGTACATGTGAGATTTTTTTTTTTTTAAATTTACCCCCCACCAACTCTTCTAACTCGAAATGGTTTAAATTTATATCCTGGGTCAGATCTTTGTTGTGCTTTCAGGGGCAGTCTATAGAGGATAGAGTAGGAAGAATCTTGTATTTTGAGTCTCACAATTACCTTTACTTTTACTTTTGAAGGTAGGGACCTTCAAATGGTGCAGTGCTGATGAAACAATCAGCAGAAATCAAGAAGTATGCTGGTGCTGTGTGCAGTGTATATGTCCATAAATTACATAAAATTTTTTGGTGATTTTTCAGAATCTTCCCCCCTCCTGTCTCTTTTATAACACTTTCTAACACTGAAGCAAATACACACAATTAAGGGCACACCTGCCATTGATTGTATTATGCAATTTATGGACAGCCCTTTAGTAGTGAATGTAGTAGTATTACCTGCACAAATTTCTCTATTCCTCCCACACTTTAGGGGCACATGCCTTTACGCAATTCCTAGGGCTCAAGGTGCAGCCCTGTTAATTTACACACCTATCCGTACCCAATTCCTAGGGCTCAGGGTGGAACTTCCTGCGGGTTTGCAGGGTCTTTTGCAACTGAAAGAGAGTCACAGAGTAATATTCTTACTCTCTATTTATTGACCATTCCCAAGCAAGCAGAATATACATGCTAAGCACACAGTGTCATGCATGCTCACCAATGCTGATACAGGCAGGCAGACTTCTGCTATTGGCCAGGCAGGGTCAGTCTCTCTGGATCTTACCTGCTGCATGTCACAGTCATGCAGAAGAATCTTGGCAGCTCTGGTCTTAGGCTGTGTCTTGGAGGTGAGTTTCTTTCTCTCCCTCTCCTTCTCCCTCTCCCTCCCTCCCTCCCTTTTGCTCCTCTAGCCAGTCTCCTTGGACCCAAGTTTATATAGTGAAATCTGAGTCCTGCTTAGCTATACCATAACCAATTATTTTAGTATGATTTTACTAACCAATCATAACATACAGTAACAGAATTACCTACCACCTTGGTTTACACCTAGCAAAATTAATTATACAGCAGACAGAAACCTTTACAAACCAGACAGAGATCACACATATAAACAATGGGAAAGTGAGGACAATAATCATAGACTGAGGATTCCACAAGCTTGACTATTGATAAGCAGTTTCTTGCCAGACAAAATGCTGTTAAGTTTTCTTTACCCATCTTGATATCTGTTTCTTATCTGGTGACAGTGGGGACCATTAGGACAGGATCCCCTTCTCACAGCCTAGTGTGACACTGTTTTAATGCAATTTAGATGGAATGTGAGTATATGACTTCAGGCTTTACAGCTAATGGCTGTGCTCTTCAGTCTGGCTGCAGAGGAAGGCTTTAGTTTAGGCCTTCCAATCTGGCTACAGAAAAAGCATATTGTTACAGTAGTAGCATTGAAGCTAGCAATGGACAACTTATGATGAGTTGTTAACCCCACACAGGATCGCAAGGGTTAATGGAGGCTTTGCGGGCCTTCCATACCCTGTTTCAGAAAAAGAGCCCAAAGGTCTTAAGGCTGCACAGGAAGTAACCATTTGGAGAGAGGCTGCATAGAGCAACCAATCAGGGAACAGTGGAGATAGTGCAAAAGGATCTGCACAGCAGAGCAGGAGTCAGTTGTACCTGGGACAGAACAGTTGTGGCAGGGACCAAAGGTTCACGAGGGAGCTCCTGGATGGCTGCTTGGATTTGCTGGCTGAAAACCCTGAGAAAAGGGAGAAGGTGGTGTTGGGACTGTGGAAGAATGGCTTAAAGAAATGAAGCAGCGTCGAAGGGAGTAAAGGAGATGCAGCAAGAGGTTGCTATCTGCAGGGTCCCTGGAAGGGGAAAATATGGATGATGGGTTGGCTGGAGCGCCAAATCACAAAAAGGATACTGTGGTATTTGCACTGAGGCAGGTCTGCAGGCAGAGACCGTGACAGGAGAGGCACCACCAGAAGAGCAGCTGCTGGCTGGTAGAGCTAATCCCCATGACAGCCAATAGGAGATACTGCTGTGACAGGACCTTATTACATTAGTTGCTGTATAAACACAGAACAAAACAGTCCATTTCTCAAGCTAGGTAGAAAACAAGAGACAACATTTGGAGATTGGTGAGTAAAAGAGACAATGGAATTATATTTGTCAGCATACAGGCAGTGGTATTGGCGCACCAATGGCTCAATTGACATTTCTTTTGTAGACCTCATGGCAAAGGCGATTACTAGGGAGGAATGTGCAGGAGAAGTATGAAGTAGCTTTGTGAATGTTTATGGGAATACCTTCCAACTGTGAAAAAGCAGTCTAGGAGAAAGCACAAAGGTACCTGTTTGAAAACATAAGTGGGCAGCAAAAGGCTGGCATCCTGGACTGATTGGAGGTGGCAGTTAACACCTCAGTAATGATTAAGAGATGATAGGTAGGGAGGTGATAGGCCTTGAAGATTCTTGAAAGTGAAGAAAAGCAACTTATGCTCATTGTGATAGAGACGGGGAAGCCAACTGAGGCACGCAGGGAGAGGAAGTTTGTGGGTAAAGCAATAGACTAGAAGAGTGACTTTTGCAGCAGAATTCTGAATGTATCTGAGCAGAATATGATTGCATTTGGCAAGGTCAGTGAGAAGGAAGTAACAGGAATCAAGGCACAAAATGAAAAGAATGGATGGAAGAGTTTTAGCTGTATGGATGGATACGAAAGGCCAGGTCTTAGCGGTGTTATAGAATTATAGGACTGGAAGGGACCTCAAGAGGTCATCTAGTCCAGTTCCCTGCACTCATGTCAGGACTAAGGAATATTTAGAACATCCTTGACAGATGTTTGTGTAACCTGCTCTTAAAAATGTCCAATGATGAAGATTCCATAACCTTCCTAGGGAATTTATTCTAGTGCTTAACCACCCTGACAGGAAGCTTTTCCTAATGTCCAACCTAAACCTCCCTTACTTTAATTTAAGCCCACTGCTTCATGTTCTATCCTCAGAGGTTAAGAAGAACCATTCCTCTCCCCACCCCCAACGTTTATGTACTTAAAAATTATTGTATCCCTTCTGTCTTCTCTTTTGGTCAAAATCAAATCTAGAACAGGCTCTCCCCTTCTTGCTTTTTCTACTTTCTGAAACGTAAAAAGTCTTCAATACATTCCAAGAACTTGCTGGATAATCTGTGCCCTGCTTTGTTCTTTTCCCAACTGATGTCTAGATAATTGAAGTACTCCATCATCACCTCATCCTGTGTTTTGGATGTTTTTGTTAGTTTAAAAAAAGCCTCATCCACTTGTTCTTCCTGGTTAGGGGATCTTTAGTAGACTTCTACCATGACAACATCCTTGGCCTTTTTACTCCTTTTATTCCTACCCAGAGATTCTCATCAAGTCTGTCTTTTATTTCCATTTTAATTTCAGTTCAGGTTTACACATTTTTAATAGATAAGGCAACATTTCCTATTTTCCCTCTCTGTCCTCCTGAGCAAGTTGTACACTTCTGTATCAATATTCCAGTAATGTTCATCACCCCACCAAGCTTGTGATACTAACTATGTCACAATGGTGCTTATTTACTATCATTTCATGTTCTTCTGTTATTCATTTACTTGTGGTTTTTGGTCCCCTGTCCACTTCAAACCTAGTTTAAAGCTCTCCTCACTAGATTAGCCAATTATATTCAAATATGGTCTTCCCCTTCCTTGATAGGTGCATGGACCTGATCTCTGCTTAGCAAC